TACATAGTTACATTGTCGAATATTTCGTTGATTATAGATAATCAGTTAAGAAAATTACTACTTCAGTGACATGAATAGAATACATTTAGATCTTATGAAAAATGTACAGTATAATTGTATGCATAAAATTTCTTTGTTCAAGCCACTGAATAATTCTATCTGAAGTTTGTGCTGATGATATTGTTCAGAAGAACGATGAAAGCTCCATGACCAAACCATCCAGCTCAGAGAATGAAACTCCACTAAAACTACTGAATACTAGTTAAGCTTTAATTTGTTTTATATCAACAATCAGAACACTTCAGTAAAGCTTGATTGACTGAACGACTTTATTTAAAAGAAATCGTGGTAGTTACACATTACTAAATTTATAAAATTAAATTAGACTTTATTACTCACTTTAAAAGTATGTAAGCAGATTATAAAATAACATGTCAACATGTTTCTTATTATGAACAGGCTTTTTTGGAATTTGAGAGAAAGCTAAAATTCCTCATATCTTTTTATAATAATAAGCATTACAGCCGGATTCTAGTTGGGCATCCGCTAAAAACTGTGAGTCATTAAATATCTGTTACGAGATTTCTCAAGGGAAGTGTCAAATCTAGAACCGTCAGGTGAGTGCTTAACCATTAGACCACTGAGCCGGCCTCCAAAGGTGTTAATGCCTAACTTCATCAATCCACTATTATTCGGTTATACAAGTTTATTAAAATAGTTTTTTGGCTGGTACTATCATGCCGATATTGTTGAGTACCACGAAAATTATCAAACAATTCTATAACATAATCATTCAATCGAATTGCTTGCTAAACATACAGCTATTATTGCTAAACAAATAAGGCTCAATTAATTCGTTGAAATTTTTATTATTATTATTCTATATTAATCACGCTCAGTTTAGAGTTCTTGGAATTTAAGTCATTATCATTTCATTTTTCATTCAAATATTTATATGTACTTTTCCATATAATAGACGCTTAGATACTAGTTAATCATAACCAAAATCCAATTTGGTTAAAAGGTATACAACAAAATGGAACATATCTGTTTAATATCGATTAAAAGAATAGTATTGGCATACCATAAAGTTCATATTGAATGACAAATCTGATTAACAAATGAATAAATTTACTTTTTGTTAAGAAGAAAACATTTTATTCTACAGTTTTATATGTACACAATGATTTGATATACAAAACTATACATACCATATGAATAGAAATATATAGTAAAAATTAATATTAGCTATATACCCCATATTTTATTTACATTATTTTAATAGTAATTAAGTTTAAGGTAACTAGTCCCTTTTATAAATTTCGATAGAACAATGAGAAGCCAAAGTTGATCTGAAGTTGTCAAGGACAAATCCTCAAGTTTATTGAAGCCTTAACTATTTGTAAATTTAAACTCCGCTTACGTGTACAAAAAACAACTTGTCGTAACCTTGAATTTACTTCGGTAATCCTCAAGTCGTTTTATGGCCTAAGGTAATCCGACAATTTCATATTTTTTCTATACAATGTAAACTTGTTTCTCTCCACTTTGTTACCTTTTTTCATTGAACTCCTATTTAATTGTATTCACTTGGTGTTATTTACTTGTATCTTCCCATTGATTATTAGCACTGCAATTGATCAGTCTCGTGTTGGTGTATGCGTATTCTGTGCGGATTGCCTTGATATTGCCTGAAGTCACAAGCTTTATAAGCAAAGATGGATAGTGGCTATGAGTGGAATCCAGGAAAATATTGAAGTGTGTATTTGATACTCTTAGTAAATAAGCTATCATAAATGAGAGTGACAGTTGATATAGTTATAGATATAGAACTGAAAAAAACTAAAGTGGCTATGAGTGGAATCCAGGACGTGTGGTCCGTCCTATTTGAGACTCGTCAGTTGGATGTGCCTGCATCTCCGGAACTCGAATCTAGTACCATTCACTTCAAACGCCATTGCGTTGTCCAATTAGGTACTGAGTTCAAACTGAGTTCTGGTAATTGACATTTATTAATTTTCATATATAAAAATGCCATGGTAAGTATATATGTGACCAGATTGTTCAAAATGTATAGCGTAAATACACCACATTTTTCAGATCAACTCCGTCTTCTCACTGTTCTATCGAAGTAATTATGTTCTTCTTTTAACAAGGATAGATAGAAAAATAAATCCTGAAACTTATAACTTCCGAAAAATTTATTTCATGATTTTATTGATATAAAACTTTAACTTAGAAATGTTTATTCCTAGAAAGTGAAAATCACTTCAATCATATTGTAGTGAATGAGAACACAAGTGAAGACAATCGAATGTATTTGAATACAAAATTACAGAATATCTGAAGACGATACAGTAAATACTTAATTTGCAAAATGTTAACCAATTGCCTTAAACTTGACTGTTTCTTTTGCAAATATCAGTAAATCGTCTCAGATTTTAATGTTTCTTCATTTTCATACCAATTACTTTCTGTTCCTGTTCTTTTCTTCACGACGTTCTGCTTCCAGACATTCTATTCCTGACTAGTGTTATATACTACTTACCTCGATATAAGCAGCACACACCACAATATATGTGTTTCACTTTTCTCTTTGATTTGTTACCACATTACATTACTTACGCCTGTTACTCCTCGTGAAGGAGCATAGGCCGCTCACCAGCATTCTCCATCCAACCCTGTCCTGGGCAATCCTTTCTAGCTCCTTCCAGTTGTTATTCATCCTCTTCATATCTGCTTCTATTTCCCGACGTGATGTGCTCCTTGGCCTTCCTCTTTTCCTCTTCCCTTCATGATTCCAAGTTAGGGCTTGCCTCGTGATGCAGTTTGATGATTTGTGTAATGTATGTCCTATCCATTTCCATCGTCTTTTCCTAATTTCTTCTTCAGCTGGAAGCTGGTTTGTTCTCTCCCACAGAAGGCTATTGCTGATGGTATCAGGCCAATGGATGTTGAGTATCTTGCGTAGACAACCATTTATAAATACTTGTACCTTCTTGGTGGTGGTTGTTGTAGATCTCCAAGTTTCAGCCCCATACAGTAGAACTGACTGCGTTGACGTTCGTATTGAAGATTCTCACTTTGATATTGGTTGAAAGTTGTTTTGAGTTCCATATGTTCTTCAACTGTAGGAATGCGACCCTTGCTTTTCCAATCCTCGCCTTTACGTCTGCATCTGAACCTCCTTGTTCATCGATGATGCTTCCCAGGTATGCGAAGGATTCTACATCTTCCAGAGTTTCGCCATCAAGAATGATTGGACTGCTGTTCTCTGTTTTGAATTTGATGACCTTGGTTTTCTGCCTGTAGCTCTTCTAGAGTTACTGCCGGTCCGAAGCCCGGGTAAAAGAGGAGGTTTGGGCATACGGTTAGCGACCCCATCCCGTAGAAAACTAACTTGATTTGTTACCATTGTTTCTTAATTGTTTGCTGATATTCTTTTTTAAAAATATGTATATATCTTTCTATCATCTGTTAACTGTGATGAATTTATTCTTTATAGACTTTAGAGAACAAATGAAGTCTCATCAAATTTATAAGTAATGGAAGTTTGTATTTTTGAAACTACATAATGTTTTGGCCTATGCAAATAATAAGTAATGATATTCAGAGAGCATATTGAATAGTTAGTAAATAAAGTTTATTTGAAATCGTTCGATATCAACAATTTTGATGGCCACCTTTTCTTCCTGCACCAATTTATCAAAGTTAGGTTCCTTGTGTAGCTTCGTTGATAAGACCTACATATAATTATTTATCCACAGTAAATTTATATAAATAAAAAGGTTGATAATGAGGCGTCATTACTTCTCATTAATTATTTTACTTACCAGTAATAATGACTTGTTTTTTACTTGTATTTGTCCATGTTTAATCAACAAATCAGTTTCGTTTTGTTTAAAATAGGCACTAAGTAGATGTGCATTTATCTGACAATAATAGTCTTTCAGTTAATTCATTTTTCGATAGAACAGTGAGAAGACGGAGTTGATCTGAAAAATGTGGTGTATTTACGCTATACATTTTGAACAATCTGGTCACATATATACTTACCACGGCATTTTTATATATGAAAATTAATGAAGGTTAATTACCAGAACTCAGTTTGAACTCAGTACCTAATTGGACAACGCAATGGCGTTTGAAGTGAATGGTACTAGATTCGAGTTCCGGAGATGCAGGCACATCCAACTGACGAGTCTCAAATAGGACGGACCACACGTCCTGGATTCCACTCATAGCCACTTTAGTTTTTTTCAGTTCTATATCTATAACTATATCAACTGTCACTCTCATTTATGATAGCTTATTTACTAAGAGTATCAAATACACACTTCAATATTTTCCTGGATTCCACTCATAGCCACTATCCATCTTTGCTTATAAAGCTTGTGACTTCAGGCAATATCAAGGCAATCCGCACAGAATACGCATACACCAACACGAGACTGATCAATTGCAGTGCTAATAATCAATGGGAAGATACAAGTAAATAACACCAAGTGAATACAATTAAATAGGAGTTCAGTGAAAAAAGGTAACAAAGTGGAGAGAAACAAGTTTACATTGTATAGAAAAAATATGAAATTGTCGGATTATCTTAGGCCATAAAACGACTTGAGGATTACCGAAGTAAATTCAAGGTTACGACAAGTTGTTTTTTGTACACGTAAGCGGAGTTTAAATTTACGAATAGCCATCCTTTTTTCTAAATGTATATTTACAAGAAGAAATTGTTGTTACTATATGTTGAGAAAGGCAGTTTCTCTCATAGACAATCAGATAACTGTCTTAGTATGCAGTTACCAATTTACTTAATTTTACCATTGTACATATGTTGTTATTAACCATAGCATAGAACTCTACAACATTTAATAAGATATGTTGAGTTCCCTTAAAGTTTTTTTGAATTTTTACACTTTCATATAACTTGCTATGCTTGATAAACTAAATATAATCTCTCTTCTCATCTTCCTTGTATATTCAATCTAATTTAGCTACGTGATGCAAATTCCGAATTAAATAAACTAATAGAAAAACGTATGATTTCAAATGAACCATTTGATGATAAAATTTCATTATTTCGTCAGCAAGCTGCTATTGTAAGACGTAAAAAATTAGCAGCAGCTGAAACATTAACAACAACACGTGATAGACTATCTGAATTGAATAATCGTCTTGAAGAAATGAAAAATCAATTGGGTGTATCAACAACTATTGATCAGAATGGAGAAGATGGCAATGTGATTACAATAAATAAGGCGTTAGATCTGTCCTGTTTAAAGACTGATGAAGTAAGCTGTAGTTGAGTTCATTCTAAATTGTTTTAATGATAAAGATTTTTCGTATATATCAATCAGTCAGTCAATTATAAACAAATCAAAACCTTCCAAATCTATGCATCGGTTCAAGTTGTCACATCATATCAGTACAATGGGATGAAATTATCAAGATAAATATAACGGTAGTAGAATTAAAAACAGTATTAGTGGAAGTAGATGACATTAGGCATAAACAATATGATTCGAGAAGAAAGTACAAACTCTCAGGATTAAGATTTAAGGTAATTTTTGGAGTAAAGACTCAAGAGGTAATGTTTGGATCAATTTATGCAATTGAGACCAATTGCAAGCCAAGTCAACCAATGTCCTTAGCCTGCTAGTCTGCAACTACCAGCTCTACTCAGTCCAACAGTCACGAACTGATATAATGTCTTGGTTTAGTTGCCCCTAACTTTCTTCCAACCTAGTCATGAACAAGGAAACATAGAACGTTGAAGTTGGAAATGGTCAGGTATACTTATTATATGTCTCAACCACCTTAGTTGATAAACATTCATAATCCCACCAGCCGATTTATAACCTTAACAATATATATATATATATATAAATTGAGTTTATGATACTCATTATGATGACAATATCGATAAAGATACTGAAAAGACACGACTAAACATGTATATACGTACATTTAAACTTTTACTTTTGTTCAACAAAACTATTGATCGTAGTGAGAAATCCTATGTTAACTATCCTCGATAGTATTGTTACTAATTTATATTTTATTTGTATACTTAGTTAGTCAAAAAAGTTTTGACTTTGAACTACTTTCCATTTTCATACTTTCCATTTTGATTAATCAATGCAAATAACTAAACAATAATGGCATCGGTCGCTATACAGTTTACATATTTCAGTCCTTATACACTACAGCAGATTGTATCTTAAATAGCTCAATAGTAGTGTCTTTGTTTATCATATTCCTTTCGGATCAAATCAAATCTTAAGTGAAACATCACTTCTCCAAACATTATAGATTTATCTTGTTAACGAGTGTTATCTATCATGAAACATAGTTTCAAAAATCTCTACCGACTCCTTTAACCATAAGACACTAACGTTTGTTAAGAATACTTCTGAATTCAGTTGGAACTTAGATAAATTTCAAATTATCAGAATAGTTGGTATTCACACTAAAGTTTGACTTAAAAATTTCAACTAAATTGAGCAACGGGTAGATTGTTATATCCCAATGAGTATAAAACTGGATTTCTGACGTTCTGCTATCTTTTGTGAATCGTTTCTTTAAATAAATAAATAAATAACCAAATTAAAATGATACAAACATATTATATTCTTATCATTAGGTCAAATACCTTCCAAACATTTTGTAGCAACCATGAACCAACTTAAGCAAGACAACCACTAAAAATGTAAGAGCACTGGATGGTCTTTTTGTCCAAATATGAGACTCAGTAGTGTGCATCCATAATCGCGCACTCAGGACTCGAACCTAGTACCCTTGGGTATGCGCGGGAACACTCAACCTCTAGACCACTTAGTCGGCATTCAACAGTGTTGATGTCTAACTTCCGTTGATCCATGATCTTGCACAACCCTTCATCCATTATCTGTTTGGGATTGTGAAAATTACGGGATTTTATTAATATCACGAACCGATCTATGTCATATAACCACTGAAAAACTGGAAACACTGGACAGCTCTCTCAAAAAGCTATTAGATTTCTGATACAGTATGCCAATTAGCCATCAGCCAAGAGTTTGCTTTCCTTTCCAAAGAATGAAGCACACCCCACTGGCCGAAAGATATGGTTAACATTTCAAAGGGATATATATACATATATATGAATGGATGCTTAATTACTACTCGATTCAATTGTTCACCAAAAGGCTACCTCACTCTCAGTCTTGTCACTAAAGCAGCCAGTTGGGCTCACTAATAGGAAGCTTGTGTATCAGATATCAGAATCGGACACCGCACAACATAATATTTTCCCGTTCATCAATTTGTGTATTGTTTTCTCGCTAACTACTGATTTGTAGACAAGAAATGTTTTGTCATAATACGTAAGTAGTAAATGATTAAAGTCAAAACTCACTTCTTCCCTAATTTCATAATTTTTTTTCTATTCAGTTTCAACGATATGTTGCAAAACTTCGTAGTAAAAACACAATATATAAGCAAAAACGTGCTCAATTAAGTGAGTTACGCGCAGAAAAAGGAATACTGTCGAGAACTGTTGAAATATTACGTAATGAAGAGAATGAAATGAAAACATTATTGGCTAATGCAGAATCTGAACATGGTACCAGTGGTTGTTGGGAAACTCAAACAAATTTAGGCAAAGTAAGATAAATACTATTGTTTTACATATTTTTAATTTCCTTACAAATAAATTGGATTAAACTGATTGACAACTGAATTATAATCAATGTTATATATCTCTGTTCTTAAATGCAGTTACTATCAAATTAACTGATAAAATAATTCATAAAAAGGTTGTACTACTCATAATAAATGACAAAAGCCTTTAAAAAAACATATAACAGGATAAGTTTAATAATTGAAGCTAGACCACAATGGAAAACCTGGAAGCACTGGACAGATTTTTCATCATAGTATGGGACTCCTTGACAATGCGCATCCACCATCCTGCCCCTAGCGTGATTCGAACCCAGGATCTGTCAGCGCTTAACCTCTATACCACTGAGCTGATATCCAACGGTGTTAATGTCTAACTTCAACTAATCCACGAACAGGGATTTAAAAGATTTAAAATCTGAGTTTCATATTTGTTTGTTTTTAATATTCATCTCGAACAGAATATCAATAATGTAGGATAAACTTGAAATTTTGATATTAAATAAATCAAAAACAACAACTGATGAATTCGTTATGTTTCGTCACTTTCCCATCAGTTACATATAAACCAGTTAATAGATGTTATGTCGCATTATAATGTGTTAATCAATAACGGATAAGTGGTGTTTTATGTGAAAAACACTAAAGAAGACTTTGCATCATAATTATTCTTAAAATAGTTTTTTATAATTCTAGAATATTAAGATAATTTTCTTATGTGATATAACCAATAAAAACATTTTTTAGAAGTTTTGAAAGAAAAAAAAATGGACATATGAGTTCAACTCACTAAATTGTGATTACAATTAAATTAAATAAACGTACATACGTATTTATGCATGTTACCCTTTGTGAAGGAGCATAGGTCGCCCACCACGATTCTCAAATCCATTATGTCCTCAGCGATTCTTTCCAGTTGCTATTCATCATTTTCATGTCTGCTTCTCCAATTCGCGACGTAGTGTGTTCCTTGGCCTTCCTCTTTTTCGTTTCCATTTACGATTCCAAATTAGCGTTTGCCTCGTGGTGTAGTTTGATGATTTCTGAAACATATATCCCATCCACTTCCAATGTATTTCCCAAATTTCATCTTCATTTGGAAGTTGGTTTGTTCCATACTACAGTGGATTGTTACTGATGGTATCCGGACAACGGATCTACAATATCTTGTGTAGATAATTGCTTAGGAATACTTGTACGTTTTTTTGATAATGATTGTAGTAGTTCTCCAAGTTTCAGCTGCGAAAAGTAGGACTGTCTGAACATTCGTACTGAAGATTTTGACTTCGATACTAGATGATAGTTGCTTTCAGTTTCATATTTACTTCAACTGTAGGAATGCTGTCCTTACTTTGCCAATCCTTGCTTTGCGTCTGCATCAAATCCTTCTTGTTTATCGATGATGCTGCTGACCAGATACATGAACGACCTCTTTCGACCGCTTTCAGAGCTTCTCCACCAGTTGTGATTGGATTGCTGTTCTCCGTGTTGTATTTGAGGACGTTGCTTTTTCCCCTGTGTATCTTGAAGCCTACTGATGCAGAGGCTGCTGCTATAAATTAAAGACAAGAGAGGTTAAACAGTTTTGATTCGTTTGTGTTGTCAAGGCGATTGATGGTTAACTACTGACTCTTAAATGCAGCTGCATAGAACGCAACAAAATAAAATGTATTATGATTCTTTCTTCGTTAAAAAACATGGGAGCACTGGGCGGCCGTTTCATCTTAGTGCAAGACCCCTTCATGGTCCCGCATGAGGGATTCGGGCCCAGTACCTTCGGTCTCGTGTACGAACGCCTTTTAATGCTTCCAAGTTTTCAATGGTGGTCTTGCTTAGATAAACTCATGAATTCTAGACTTTTGATAACCTTGAACCTCACAACGTGAATTCTGAGTAAACTTCAGAATTTGAACATTATTGTTTAAGGGTTTAGCACTGAATAGATTTTGTTTTTATTTGTCTATGATAATTTTGATTTTGGTTATTCCCCTGGGAAAACTGGACCTAGACTGACGTATTAAATATTGAATCTATTCAAACTTCTACTGTTAAAGTCATTTCGAATATAACTTTACACATTATTGTCTTTTGTATACTCGTAAACTAATTTCTATCATATTCTTTGTTTAAATTTTGATGAGTTTTCACATAAATATTTACATTGTTCTTTGGAATTCAGTTGGTCCTAAGAATAAAACAACGTGGGATTAATTAATAAAATAGAATATCCCACTTAATCACTTCTCTTGAATGAAATGAAAATCTTCTAACTCGCGGGGCAGAGTTTAAGTGGTTTGAATTATTTTTTCTGGTTAGCGTATTTTTACCGAGTTAGTTTTCTACGGAATGAGGTCGCTAACCCCATCCCCAACCCTCCCCCTACTTTACGCTGTCTTGGGACCGGCAGTAGCCCTAGAGAGGCTACAGGCGGAGTTACTCAATCACTTCATATTGTTATAAAAATTTTCAAATTAGACATTGTTTTATTCATTTCAGATTTAACTTAGTATGAATCAATTAACTGGGGGGGTTGACTTGGTTTCTTTATACTTTGAAATGGTTCAAGATAATTTGCAACGATCCCAAGTTTAGATGTTTAAAGTATTGAATATTAAAGTAAAATCTATGGATCTTTCAAACAAAAATAAAATATTTTGATTATGTACACTAAAATTTTACATAACTTTGAGTTTTCGATTTCACAGTCTGCAAAAGCGTTAAAATAACTTAGATATACCTTTGTTTTTGAAAGCTTCTGAAGATTTACAAATGTTTACAAATACTAATTTCATACTATCCTTGATATTAATTAAATGCAACTTCATGAGTTAACTATGTGAGTACTTTCAAATCATCAAAATAGTTCATACCTGCATATGTTAAATGACTTAGTTAATAACAGATTGTATGAAACTACTTACATTCAACCTGTTTCTTTCTTTAAACTATGAACTTCATAATTTATTTTTTCGGTAGTATTATTCGTTTTGTTTTGTTTTCAAAACTATATTTCTCATATTTAGTTGTCAACTCCAACTGTTTGTAATTACTGTGGTTATTTTCAATTTCATTTATACAATTTCGCGAAGAACTATACATATGTATTTATGGACAAAGCTTTTTGTCTTTATAGTCTCAGGTTAACTGAAGAATAAATGACAATAAGATAGAACTGAAAAACTATTTTGTTAGCAGTATGAATTATTTTTATGATTACTATAATTCTAGTTTTATAATGCAGTTAATTAATCATAGAAAAGATAGAATCTAGCGTGAATGTCTAACACATACAACATCAACATAGAAGTGGAGAAATTATTCATATGAAAAGTAGAAGAGTTGAATTCATGAGTTGATCTGTGCTAGATCACAATTAAAAACTTGGAAGCACTGGATAGCTGTTTTGTCCAAGTAAGAGATGCCTCCATAGTACACATCCACGATCCTGCATGCGGGACTCGAACCCAGGAACTTCGGTCTCGCGCGTGAACGCTTAACCTATCAACCACTGAGCTGCTATTCAGCGGTGTTAATTTCTAACTTCAATCAATCCATGACCTTGCGCAAGCCTTCATCCATTCTCTGAAGTGGATAGCTGTCTCCATCGGACACAGATTAGCCTCCACTGGTCACGGCTTTTCACCGAAACTCCAAGAAATCCATCACGAAGCTAGTCACTAGTGAGCAAATTTGTTATTTTGTAATTTTAAAGATATGATGTTAATAGGGACTAATTTACGAAACAGTAAGTAGTAAGAAGGTATAGAAATTGTACAGAAATTAACAGTGACGTGGACATTGATCTGTTAAGAGTTTGGTAGTTTATAATTAAAGAACATAAATTGATATAAACTTATGATCATGATCCCAAACCGTCTCCGAACTAGAAATATTTATTTAGATTGTTTACCTTATTCATCAAATTTAACTTGTAATTAAATGGTTAAAAGCTACTTACTTTCATCATAAGGCCGGCAGTGTGTATGAATGAAACATTCCCTCAACTTGTTGAACCTGTTCAATGAAATTTCAGTGGGTTTTTATATTACAGTATAATATTGATTACTACCTACAGACCAATCACTTTAAGCATCTCACTTCTTAATTTACATTACTAACTGATATTATATAGATAACACTTAAGAGCGATAAAGTATTGGACAACTAGTTAGTCCACAAACTCCCCATCTTAAATGGTAATTTTGTGCTTAGTCCAAAAAAGCTCCATTGATAAATTATGACTGATAGAAGTGAGTTAGATCAGAAGATAGGCAGTTATTACTGATACCAACAGTATCGCAAATTGACTATTGGATTTCAATTCACTATCTAACAGTAACACAGTGTCTATAAGATTTTAAAGTTTCGGATTCATTCATTGACAAGGTTGTGGGTCCCCTTAGTATTAAAGAGTCATTTAATCTAACAAAAACAATTGTCCAATTCTCTCAATCTTTACCTAGCTAAAGTTATTCTGTGTTGTAAACATCCTTCGATTTGTACTATCACTGTAAATACCTTATTCATTTGAATCAATGGTTTAACTTGCTACTTTGACTTCTAGCTGTAACCAAAATATATACTGTTAATAATGTACATTTGTGACAAATATTTGTACATATAAATTGATCTTTCATTAAGTTATCATTAAAGTTATATTTATTTAGTTCTTAATGGCAAAGTACCACGCTGAATGAGTTCAGTTTATATCACAGAGAAGATCATTGCTTACTAGATTCCACGTATATCTTGCTAACAACTACCAAGTAATACAAAACTTAGGTTCAAGATTTCTTATCAACTCCGTCAAACCACTGAACATTTACGCATTTATTTAATCAGAAGCAAGTAATAGCATACCAAATATAAATTGAATTAATTCAATGGGTAATAATACATAAAATCAATGTATTCCAGTTTATTTTAAAACCAAAGTAGATTGACGTAATCACTGACCAATATTGATAGTATTTGATAGAATGTATTATTATTATTACTACACTCTAATATACGACGTTTACATGAACCTATTTTGTTTGTCACACCATTTTATGGTACTAGCAATTTATTCAATAACATGTCATTATTTATGAAAGTGTTTATTCTAGATTAGTCAAAATAAATTTTATTCTTACATAATACAACTTGAAATGGTGGAAAAGATTTGTAGGTCAGGTGGAGAAGATTTGTAGATTAAATGGATGATTTTGATGGAGTTTTATTCTCTGACGACCAAACTATCTAGCTCAGAGAACAAAATTTCATCAAAAGTAATACAACTTTCTAATTATAGTACATAAGATAACTTTTCCAGTTGATGTTCATCTATTGTTTGAATCAATGTTATGTATCAACAAGGGTGTTACTTATTAATTCAGCTCCTTTTACCACCTACCTTTCAGATTAATACATCCTTGATGATCTTATATACATAATAGTTTAATTATCATTATCAGTTAAGTATTTGATTTTGTATAAGTAGTTTAGTCTAGAAAATATTCTCTTGGTATCTTCGCCTTTGTTAGCGGGACATAGATTGGATTAAAGCATGCTCAATGCATGTTTGCTTTGGTGAACGCTGATTGGCTAATTCTTATCCAATCAGCACTAGTCGATAGTTGGAGAATACTCTAGAGTCTTCTCATGTAAAAACTATAAATATACTAACGTTTTCCCTATTGTTCTTCTTACTTGCTTCTTACTTCCATCTAACCTTGTTGTTTGGAATATAATCTCTTTCCTGTTCAACCGTGTTCTGATTTGGGGACTTGTCGAGTGAATCGGTGTCCGAGAATACTAAGCAATAGGAATAGCTGGGTTATAACCGTAAGAGAGAAATATAACAACCTTAAATACTTTGAAACATAGTCCTGAAGAATATAGAAGATATTTTGATTCGAAACGATTAAGTTATTATCTGCCTATACATAGATTGTTCTATAAATTAGATCAGATTATTATTTAGAGTTACCTAATTATGATATTGAAAATTGTTGATTGAAGACTACAAAAGGCATGAGTTTAAACTCATTACAATGTTATTTATTAATTTGCTCTGTCTTAGTAGTTCTAAATAACTTTCAACTTAATATTTTTATAATTTTCATCCATCTAATTGTGTCATACACTTCCATCTTAAAGTTTCTTTTCTTTTTGATTATGTTTGTAAGCATAAACTTGTACCAACTTGAAACATTAAACTTCTATTGACGTTTCTATATCATTTTTCATTGGTATGTTCTATTACCATTTAGATTAAATTATACCTTGTAATAAATCTGTCCTACTTTCATACTCTTATAATAGATCAGTTGCTCATAGACAATATAAAACTTGATGAAAATATGATAACTAGACAAAGGTACCATGATTCATACTATTAATAATGAAGAGACGTTTGACAATAAGAAAATATCAATGTTTAAATAACAACATAAATTACGGGTGAAGAACTAAACGTACAAAAGATACTTTCAACATATTGACTGAAAACAACTTTATTACTTACTTATTTACTTACGCCTGTTACCCCTCGTGGAGGAGCATAGGCCAGCCACCATCACTCTCCATTCAACCCTTTCCTGAGCAACTGACTGATAATAATTATTTGACCATATTAAAACACTAAATTTTCAAGAAAAATAAAAAGTAAATTCACGTAGTTCACTTCATCTGATTGTAAACCTTGACAATTAAGGTTTTTCAATTATTTTATAGATTATGATTGTTTCATAAACAAACAGAAGTATCCTTTTAATCTTAAGATAATTCAGACTACTAAATAGTTATTGAATAGAATGCTACCATATCTTTTTCAGAGAACTCATAGCATTTTTACAACGTATTATTATTATGCTGGTCAGCATAGGAGATTATGATAGGTAGCAATTAGGTGTTAATAGATAATCGTTTCAATATCTCCCCTCACTGGTGATTCGTAACATCATTAACTGACTTTCAATACTGTAAGGTTAATATCAGCGCTAATCTCATGACTAATTCATCATACACCATCAATACTTCAAACACATTTCAAGTCTAACGATTAAATAATATGCAAATCTTTTAATTTCAGGGTCTATACTTCAAGCTTTAAAGTGGCAAGTAGAGAACTGTTGTCTAATCTAATTATTCTTTTTTTTACCAAACAGAGCAATTTAGCTCCTAAAGCTTATAAACCAACAATTTTTCAAAGCTAGTTTTTGTTACGAACTAATATCGGCTCAGGAACCAATTGAAACCATGGAATGGTGAGGGCTGGTCAGCGATGGATTTCTATAAATCTGTCATTAAATTAACGTTTACATTAACCTTTCATATATTGATCATTAAATTATTATTTTCTACTCGAATTCCTTATTTTAGAACTGGCAAGAAGGTTTTATTTAAGTAATGTTTGATTGTTTTCCCACAAAGAACTGGTAGACATTATGTAATTCAGATCTATCATCTCATTCAAATAACCAATATGGTAAACTAAAAAGAAAACTCTACGGTTTTATTATTCTAACTCACAACACATGCTAATATTGAGCTCGAGGATACAAAAGGATTGATATCTTGATAATATCATCATTTATACTTTGATTTCTTCGGAGATCACTTGTTGATACTGTAATACCAAGGTGTTTTCTTCCATCTTTTACAACAAAATAGCTCGTAAATTTTGGAAGGGTTGTGTATTTTTTGTAAAAAAGAAAGCAATGAACTTCATTTAGTTTCTCAACCTGAATTCAATTTATTCAAACTGAGTTATTCAAACTCAATTTGTTTATAGGAATAATAAATGAAATTGAACAATAACTTACAATGTACACTTTTTATTGCTTACTTGAATCTGAGATGGTGGAGAAGATTTGTAGCTCAGGTAGATGATTTTGATGGAGTTTTGTTCTATGAGCTGAATGGTTTGGTCGTAGAAGACTTCTGTCTGAAGTTTGTGCTGATGATGTCGTTCAGAAGAACGATGAAAGCTCCATGACCAAACCATCCAGTTCAGAGAACAAAACCCCATCAAAATTACTTGAATCTTCCCATTAATGTTTAGGACTGTAATTGATCAGTTACTTATCGGCATTTGTACATACTTTGCATATTGCCTTAATTCACAAGCATTATAAACAAAGATGGATAGTGGCTAGCAGTGGAATCCAGGAGGCTTGTTTCGTCCTGTTTGGGACTGGTTAGTTGGATGTACCTACATCTCAGAGTTGATGTTCTTTAAACGCGCGTCCTGGAATCCACTACTAGCCATTATCCATCTTAACTTACAAAATAGTTTATTTCAATATATATTCTGAACAGCAAGCTGTTATTTCTTTCAATTATAAAAAACAACTTTGTTATTATAGTTTTCACCATTTATTTTGATTGACTTTTTCTTTGCTTATTTATTTATACAAGATATCTGAAGAAATGTCACTGTCAAATGAACAAAAAGGTATTACATTAGAAGAAATGTCAAAAATTATTCAACAATTAAATAATCGAATCAATACTAAACGTACACAACTAGCTCCAATCATCCGAGAACTTCGACAATTAAGACAAAGAGCTCAGGTGATTTCATTCATACTAATAATTCTTGTAGTATTTTAGTTGAGAGTTTTTTCGGAGTTTATATAAATTTTAATGTTGGTATTCATTAGGGATTGACATCAGTATAAAATATTGATAAGTCTATACAGACACAACGGTTTAAATGTGATGCATTGTTTACGACGTTCTAGATCCCTGTAATACACGAACACTCAAATGAGAGACAACCAAATTATGTTTAACACAAAATTACAGAATATCTTCGTAAAATATGCGAACTATGCATTAAATATTTCCATTTGCAAATATCCCATCGGTAGTCCTTTACATTCTGTATGATTCTTTCAATTCATTCCTAGACTCGAGCCTTATTGTCTAAATTTATCAAAACTGTCTCACTAAGAAAAAGCAGAAGTTCAACATTTTCAGGTTTGTATTGATTATGTAAAGTGATGTCAATCTGTGACGAAGATTACCTTATAAAAATCGTTAATAGATCTTTTGTTCATAAATGGATTGAAAGAATATGAAGACGTAAGTTGTAAGGTATCTCATAAAGAAATATGTAATCGTTTTCCTAACAGTGCATAAATATATGACTGGAGTCAATTTTATTCTTAACATTATGTCACATAAAGTAATATGACGAAGTGATGAAATTCATGTTTTGATAAACAATTGAATTCTTCGATATATGTGGTCAGATTGTTCGAAATGTATTATACAAATATATCACATAATTCTGATAACCTTCATTTTTTTATTGTATTATCAAATTATTCTGAATCAGTAAGGTCTAGTTAAGAAAAACTGTAACTTCGGTCGATTGGTTATTCTAAAAAGTCACCTATATCAAAATGAGTAGCTTACAGATTAATATTACTAGACTGTGTAATAGTCATTAAACTCAGAAGGTAGTTCATGAATAACACTTAACAGCTTTTTAGTTTACCAGGATTCACATCTGAAGGGAAGTACTGAATACAATGAAAATCTTGGATACAACTAGACGATTTAGGTTACGCAGATGACCTGACGCTTCTGTCCCATACACATCAACAAATGCAGATGAAGGCAAACAGTGTAGAAGAAGCCTCTGCGTCAGTAGGCCTCCACATACACAAGAGGCAGAGCAACATCCTCCAATACAACACGGAGAACACTAACTCATTCACATTTGATGGAGAAACTCTGAAAGAGGTGGAATCTTTCACTTATCTAGGTGATATCATCGATGAACGTGGCGGATCTGATTCAGATGTAAAGGCAAGGATTGACAAAGCAAGAACAGCATTCTTACAGTTGAACAAAATGTGCAACTCAAAACAACTGTCAACAAGCATCAATGTCAGAATCTTTAATACGAACGTCAATACAGTTCTACTGTATGGAGCTGAAACTTGGAAGACTATCACAATCATCGTCAAAAAATACAACTGAATAGGAAATTAAGAAAAGATGTTGGAAGTGGATGGGGCACACATCACTTAAGTTAGTTAACTACATCGCAAGGTAAGTGCTAACTTGGAATCCTGAGGGGAAACGGATAAGAGAAAGATCACCACACAATACGTTGAGAATCAGAAATCAAAAAGGTGAATAGCAAATTGGAAGAATGGGAAAGGATTGTCCAGAACAGAGTTGAATGAAGAATGCTAGTGATCAGCCCTACTCCTCCATGAGGAGTAACACGAGTAATTAAGTAAGGATTCACAGTAGTCATTCAACTGATATTCTCCTACGATTCATGTTGAATTCATTTAACATATAAATGTAATCATAAAATGTTACTAAGTACAACTTAACTGATTTCATAAAACATATTACGTTTTACATGCACTTTAAAAACGTAGTGATATCGAGTGCACTAGAAAACCTTTTTTTTTATTTTGCAAGTTTGTTTTTTCTGGAATAATCGATTTGGTGCACTACATACGTACAAAAACAAACATCTAAATTGTTATTATTTTATTGATTAAACAAATACGTAATCTACTCACTGTGTTTGAGTAGATGTACATTCTTCGGAAATTTAAGATTTTTTTTAAGAACAAACAATAACAAATAAGTAGTATATAAGAGTAGCATGTTAGTGAAGATCGTTTTATTTCATGATAGTTGACATTTCTGACTGAGTTTATGAGAATAATCATTTGAAATCAGGAAGTATTGTATAGTTATTTAATTCTCATATACTATAGTGTTAAAAATGTGAATTATGAAATGTTAATCAATACCCATCTCGAGTCCGTTCCCTGGAACGGATGGAGTCACGTTTTGCTAAGAAGTTCCATATTTCGATTCAGACTATTATATAAACTAACATCAAACATTATAATATTTAGTTGTTAGTTAATACTGAACGAGACGAAAAGTACTGAATTATACCGAAAAAACACTTGTCACCTAATTATAAGCATTTGCCCATAAAGTTTTGTATATTTACAAAAATAACTAAAACAAAATGTTTCATACCTTAAATGGTCAACTAGAATGAAAGTTAATTTTATTGTTCTTTCCTGACTTCTTTTAACCACTTGTCACAAAATATTTATGATACTATGTCGAGTCAATTCGACTACTGGCTAGATTTCAACCAGTTTGAAAAAAATTAATCAATACAAAAGGCTAAATAATATTATATTGGTCACTATAAAGTAGTCAATCAGCCCACATATCCCATTCCTATATGTTTATTGAGGTTTAGATAGTTCATTAGTATTGCTTTGATTGTAACAATCGATAATGCAAGTTCCAATCCCACTAGTTACATTGGTTCTTTCAAGATTACAAATATTCCTAATTAATGAGTGCTAGTTAGCACATATCGCATATTTAGTTATTCTTCCAAATAGCTTTCAATAACCTAACATTTCAGTAGTAATCTAAGTATAAATAATAATGCATCTTCCATGAATGTTTCAAAACATTGACATAAATAATCAATAAAGTTCGATAAATGAGTTACAACAAATCAAACGAGAAACGCGAAATCCTATTTAAAGTAAAAGAAGGGGCTTCAAAATGAAATAACAAAGAAATTTGAAACTTTCTAGTACTTGAATGTGACAGTACTTTCAAAACAGCTTGACGCAGGAGAGTGCATATCGTAGACGTTGACTCTAAATCACTTTATAAGTGATAAAAATTGACTTTGAACCACATGATTTGTCCTTGACCATATTCATCTACAAAACATCACTCACATATGGTAAGCATAGTCAATCAGTAATGCTGAAGATAAGTATAGAATATTATACAGAGTTGGGGAATTATTTGCTGAGGTTGTGAAAAATCGTCGACTCAATTGGCTGGAACATATACCAAACATGTCCATTCACTCCTTACAATAAAGTATTGTACTACCAAACATTGAAATAAGCCGAAACAAGCCTTAATGTCTAAACTGAGACACAACAGAAGCTTTCGCAATGACTAAATATTAGTCTAAGTTCTATTAGACAATCCTAACGATCTATTTGAAATCCACTAATTAATCGTATTCTATACTTACAAACCTTAGATGACAGTAATGAGAATCAGTGGAGTAGTTTCATTCATTCTTTATCGTTATTTTTTAGGAATTAAAATTTCCCATATAATTTTACGCTTCTGATGTTCATATTTAATTCGTTCATTTTAAATTGAATTATTTTTACTGGTTAGCGTTTTTTCAGCGAGTTAGTTTTTTACGGGATTGGGTCGCTAACCCCATGCCCAACCTTCCTCCTTTACCCGGGCTTGGGACAAGCAGTAACTCTAGAACAGCTACAGGCGGAGTTTCCATTTTAAATTACATTTATTATATTTAGTTTCTTCCTGTAATTAATATTAGAATTCCAAGTTTTCATGAGTAGATAAGTAAATGATCGTTCAGTTAGTAAATTTAGAATACAAAATAATTATACCTAACAGATAGGCTATTCTCATTTTCTATGTAATAAGCAAACAGTATGATTATCTCTCTCTCACTACAGTTACATTTCATATATATATATATATATATATATATATATATATATATATATATTGCTACCGTTGAAGTAACTACTACGAATTTGGTGTTTATCTTGTTGTGTTGATGAGGTGTTGTAACTTGGATTGATGCATATATATGCCTGGTCCTACGTTGTAACTGACTGGCTGATTAGACATCATCTATAAAATATATGATATAATAAAACTCCGCCTGGAGTCCCTCCGGGGGCTTCTGCCGGTCCCAAGCCCGGATAAAGGAGAAGGGTTGGGCACGGGGTTGGCGACCCCATCCCGTAGAAAACTAACTCACTAAAAAAGCGCTAACCAGAAAAAATTATTCAAACCTTTTAAACTCTGTCCTGGGGGTCAGAAGGTCTTTATTTAGAAGAACTATGATGCCTCATGATGAAATTCGAGTTCCTTCGGAAGTCACGAGGCCGATGCTCCTTCTGACAACCAGAGCGACCATTTATTTAGGTACATGGAATGCTCTACAATGTGGGAGACTGGGAGAGCCTTCCAAATTGCTGCAGAAATGAGGAGATACAACCTAGATGTGCTTGGGATCAGTGAAACACATTGGACGGAAGTTGGACAACAGCGACTAGCTTCAGGGGAGCTTCTGTTATACTCCGGCCATGATGAAGAAAATGCACCACATACACACGGAGTTGCATTGGTGCTGTCCAAACAAGCACAAAATGCACTTATAGGATGGGAATCTCATGGACCAAGGATCATCAAAGCTTCGTTCAAAACAAAGAAAGAGGGTATTTCAATGAACATCATCCAATGCTATGCACCTACCAACGACTACAATGAAGACGCTAAAGATCAATTCTACAATAGGCTGCAGTCAATCATCGAGAAGTGCCCAACAAAGGACCTGACCATTCTGATGGGAGATTTCAACGCCAAGGTTGGAACGGACAACACTGGATATGAAGACATCATGGGACGACACGGACTGGGAGAAAGGAACGAAAATGGTGAGAGGTTTGCAAACCTATGTGCCTTCAATAAACTGGTCACAGGCGGCACCATATTCCCACATAAACGCATTCACAAAACCACATGGACTTCACCGGATCACACTACACAAAACTAAGTCGACCATATCCGCATCAACAAAACGTTCAGGAGGACTACAGAGGACGTGAGAACCAAGAGAGGAGCTGATATAGCATCAGATCATCGCTTGCTGGTCGCCAAGATGAAATTGAAACTCAAGAAACACTGGACAACGGGGCGGACAATATCACAAAAGTTCAATACGGCCTTTCTTCAGGATACTAACAAACTCAACAAATTCAATATAGACCTCAGCAACAAGTTCCAGGCCTTTCATGATCTTTATTTTATTTTATTTTAACACATAGATATTGGTACAAGAAGGCACCAAATACATATGCGCCACACAAATATCATTCGATATGTGTGAGGGATGTGATACTGCCCGGGTGCCCAAACCGAAGCAGGTGGTTTTCTTATGGGGCCACTCCCCGAGCCTTCGACCTGAAGGTCTGATCCACAAGGCAGTGGAGCATCGTAAGGAGATGCAGTCCCATGGAAGCCGGTGACCAACAATTGCTTCATACGCCTTTTGTTCCCGCAGGATACTGGAGCCCATGTGCACCATTGGTTTGGAATCCGGTTAAAGCGCCGGACATTCACTTTTCGTCCTCTCATTTTTGTAAACAACACCCCCGCCACGAGAAGGCAGTGAGTAGGACTTCCCTGGCAGAGGCTGTATACGCGTGGCCATGTGAGAGCATTTCGAGAGAGAGAGCGGACTCTCCCCACTCTCGGCCGTACCAGGGCATTTGGGGAGAAGGAACTACTATGGAGAGCAACTGGAAGGGGATCAAAGAAGCAATCACTTCAACATGCCATGAGGTTCTGGACCACAAGAAGCACCGTCACAAGGAATGGATCACTGTTGATACACTGGATAAGATTCAAGAAAAGAGGAACAAGAAGTCAGCAATCGATACCAGTCGAACAAGAGCAGAAAAGGCCAAGGCACAAGCTGAATACACAGAAGTAAACAAACAAGTGAAGAGGAGCATCAGAAATGACAAACGTAAATATGTAGAAGAATTAGCAACGACGGCGGAAAAGGCTGCAAGAGAAGGAAACATGAGACAACTATATGACACGACAAAGAAACTCTCTGGAAATCGCCGCAAACCAGAACGACCAGTGAAAAGCAAGGAAGGCAAGGTAATCACCAACATTAAAGAGCAACAAAATAGGTGGGTAGAACACTTCAATGAACTCTTGAATCGACCAGCTACACTGAACCCACCCAACATCGAAGCAGCACCCACGGACCTCCCAATCAATGTTGGCCCACCAACAATTGAAGAAATCAGCATGGCCATCAGACGAATCAAGAGTGGCAAAGCAGCAGGACCAGATAACATTCCAGCAGAGGCACTGAAAGCAGGCGTAGCGGCAACTGCAAGGATACTCCACATTCTCTTCAATAAGATTTGGGATGAGGAACAAGTACCAAAAGACTGGAAAGAAGGACTCCTGATCGAAATACCGAAGAAAGGCGATCTCAGCAACTGTGATAACTACAGGGGCATCACTCTTCTCTCAATACCGCGAAAAGTCTTCAACAGGGTATTGTTAAACAGAATGAAGGACTCCGTAGACGCCCAACTTCGTGACCAATGGGCGGGATTCCGTAAGGACAGATCCTGTGCAGACCAAATCACAACTCTACGGATCATTGTGGAACAATCAATTGAATGGAATTCATCACTCTACATCAACTTCATTGACTACGAAATAGCATTTGATAGCGCGGAAAGAACAACACTGTGGAAGCTTCTTCGACACTACGGCGTGCCTCAGAAGATAGTCAATATCATACAGAGTTCATATGATGGATTACACTGCAAAATCGTGCATGGAGGATAATTGACAGACTCTTTCAAGGTAAAGACCGGTGTCAGGCAAGGTTGCTTACTCTCACCCTTTCTCTTTCCCCTGGTGATCGACTGGATCATGAAGACGTCAACATCTGAAGGGAGGCACGGGATACAATGAACATCTATGGTGCAGTTGAACGATCTACACTTCGCAGATGATTTGACTCTTCTATCACAAACACAACAACAAATACAGGAGAAGACGACCAGTGTAGCGACAGCCTCAGCAGCACTAGGTCTCAACATACATAAGAGGAAAAGCAAGATTCTCCGATACAGCACCGTATGCAACAACTGAACCACAATTGACGGATAAGATTTGGAAGATATAAAAACCTTTACATATTTGGGCAGCATCAATGATGAACACGGTAGATCTGATGCAGATGTGAAAGCGCGGATTGGAAAAGCAAGAGCAACATATTTACAACTGAAGAATATCTGTAACTCAAAACAACAGTCCACAAGCCAACACCAAAGTCAGAATTTACAATACAAATGTCAAGACAGTTCTACTGTATTGGGCGGAAATCTGGAGAACTACGAAAGCTATCATCCATAAAATACAGGTGTTTATTAACAGTTGTCTACGCAAAATACTTCGGATCCGTTGGCCGGACACTATTAGCAACAACCAATTGTAGGAAAGAACAAACCAGATCCCAGCTGAGGAAGAAATCAGGAAGAAGCGTTGGAAGTGGATAGGACACACATTGAGGAAAGCACCAAACCGTGTCACAAGACAAACCCTCACATGGAATCCTCAAGGTCAAAGGAAAAGAGGAAGACCAAAGAACACATTACGCTGGGAAATGGAAATAGACATGAGAAAAGTGGACAAGAATTGGATGGAATTAGAAAGGAAGGCCCAGGACAGAGTGGGTTGGAGACTGCTGGTCGTCGTCCTATACTCCATTAGGAGTAACAGGCGTAAGTAAGTAAATAAGTATATGATATCATAAGAAACTTAATGGGCTTCACTTAAGCTAGATATGTGTATACAGCCATAGATTAATGAAATACATTTCATTATATAAGTTTAAATTCCAGGTAATTAGACAAACTGAAGACGTGTTGGAATGTATCAAATAAACAATACGGATTAAAACTGATAATTCTCTAATTATACGGCTCTATATATACTCATACATTAAATTAAGGTTGGATGTAATAATGAAAAGTAGAATTCTGAAATATTATTGAAGCCGTTATTATTCAATTCTATCTTCATAAAATAGAAGATAAACATATATTGTAGTATGATCATTACAAATGATACTAACTTAAATAATATTTATTGAATAAATCACATAGGAACTTGGTCAAATACATGTTGAGAAAAAATCCGCTTATGATGCATTAACAGCTAGTCAAGAATCTCAATCTATTCGTTTAGAACAAGAAGTACGTACAATACGTGAAGCGGAAAAAAATGAAGAATCAAAATTTCATTATTTAACTGCCAATCTAGAACTATTACATATTCAACAAAATCGTTTACAAAATGAAATACGTGGTTATGTAACTAGTAGTAGTCATGTTGCTTTATCATCTAATAAAAATGAAAGTACAAATGAAACTATGGAGAAAAGAAAAAGTTACAGGTAAGTGACTCATCCTTATGTTTTTAAAACTTACAAATCTTTGTTGCATAATCCAATCAAAATATAAGAAGGGGTTTTGTGGAGATTGTAGTAATTTCAATAGTTGAGATCATGAGTCAATTGAAGCTAAACCACTATGGAAAACCTGGAAGCACTGGATGGCCGTTTCGTCCTATTGTGAGACTTCTCTATATTGTTAGGACTTACTTATGATTGTTTATGATCTTTCACTCCATAGGTTTTCTAAAAAAATATCTAGGTGATATTGTGATTTACTTATGTTAAATATCAAACAGTACAAATTATCATCATAAAATAAGCATATTCAGTAGTATTCATAGAAATCTATCACTTTAGAAGTAGTGGATTGTGATTTTCAGGCTAAGTAACAATCAGATTAACAATATCATGTTTTAAAGGATTTGAACGTTACAATGATTAATAACCGATTACAATTGAATATATATATTATTACATTAGGAGTTTTATTAGTTTTGAAGGGCAAGTATAGTTCGTTACTATCAAGATAAATAAATCCCTGTAAACAAGCTGAAATTGTTTCGTCATGAAAGGTGATTTTTAAGTGTGTCTCGTTCATGATCTTTATTATTTCAATTGTACTATGTTCAACTGATTGTCAGTAAAGAAGCATTCCATATCACTTTCATCCATGAAATTCTTAATGCTTACACCGTCAACATTACTAAGAAATTCTCAAGAGCTTTCAATGGAATGTGTTGTAACAGATTTGTACACAGATAGTACAACACACTTCGAAAGTCTATAGTATGAAGAGTTTAACATAACCTTATCGATGCCGAGTTGAATGATTTATGCAGAGATTTTCTGTAAGCTAAAGATCATTTCCATCATAAACTAATACAAGGAGGATTACGTCGCCGATCAATATCACATGACAAATCACTTATCAGAATCCCGATTCCAATTTGGTCTAATTACCGTTCATTATTAATGTTTCGGATTCTGCTAATACATGACCGACCAGCATTATGGGTGATGTCAAATTGTGATGAAAACATTTAATTTAATTCCTGATACTAGTTTATAACCCTCTTTTGACTACATTAAGTAGATAAATCGTTTCAAGGCTACTTTAGAGTTACTCGAAGGTCGTCTATCAAGTACAGTTTCACCGTACTAACAACCTTGATTCAACGTTTAGTTTCTATCAGCTCACGATTCTCTAACTTCTCTCTTCCCTTCCCTTAAGTCAGCAGCCGACCTCTATTATATTATATTTCAAACAGACCAGACCGCATCATACGATTAAATGGAAAATAATAACTATATATAAATAAGCTAAAAGTAATTGTTAGTAGGTGAGACTGAATAATCGACTAGCAACAAATTAGGAATATTAAGTTGAACAACAACAGTTAGTAGATTAGTCGAATGTTTATGATAAAAGGAATACATATACATAGTAATCTAGTTATTCATTAATTATACAACAAAATTATAATTTATATTAATTCTCAAAAACCAGTTCTAACTTTTAAAATATTTGTTGTATTATAACAAGGTGGAATAATCTTAAACTAATACGAATTAGGGTGAAACTATAATTTATGGACGAACCAATCAGGTATAAGATAACAGGTTTCATTCATTCATTTGAATAAATAGATTTATGGCACCATAACTGATGTCAGTTCGTGATGAAAACCTTGAATCGAATTCCCAACCTTAACTATCAACTGTAGATCATAATTCTAATTCCGCACATAGGTTTATAACCCTCATTTAGTTCTGGTTATCAGGTGGACACTCTCATGGTCAGTCTGGAGTCGCTCAAAGGTCGTCCATAAATTATAGTCTCATCCAAATTAGCTATCATGTCAGTCCATTTTGATTTTCTCCTTTTCTTTAAATAAATATCGTCTGTAGATAAGATAAATTTACATTAAAATTACACAAAACTACTTCAATTTCTACTCAGACTCCTTCTTTGGAGCTAATCAAGTTGAAAATGAGTCGTAACATATAAATAACTATCAGTATAGGAGTTGTGGAGATTATTAAGTTCTTGATTGAGATCATGAACCGATTGATCTCCAAGACCCCTATACTGATAATTAACATGTGCTCATTAGTGACTAGCTTCGTGAGGGAATTCTCGGAGTTCTAGTGAGAAACCATGATCAGTGGAGCTAATCCGTGTCGGGTAGAAACAGGTATCTATCTCAGTACAATGGAAGATGGTCGCGCAATTTCGTGGATTGGTTGATGTTCAACACTAACACCATTGGATGCCTACCCAGTGGTCCAGTAGATTAGGCGTTCGCGCGCGAGATTGAAGGCCCTGTGTTCGAATCTCACGAGGCGGGATCGTGGATGAGCATTGCTGAGGAGTCCCATACTAGGAGGAGATAGCCGCGTCCAGTGCCTCCAGGTTTTCAACGATGGTCTAACATCAATCGGTTCATGATTTCAATCAAGTACATATAAATACCATCAGATGAAGATCATAGTGCAAACAAAAGTATGAAAAGAATATCTATGTTCTGAATTCTTGTTTATTTATGTCAGTTTTTATTTCTTCGTCTCTTTCTTCTTTTATTATTATTATTATTACTAGAGAAATTTATACACGTAAAATAGCTGAACAAGAAGCTTTAACTAAAACATTAAAACAAGAACAGAAATCTTTATTAGAAAATGAAAAATTTGGTTTAAAACAAGTGAATTTATGGAAAAATTTATTACAATTATTAGAAATTAAAAAAATCACTAAAGAATTTAATGAAGAACGTGAAAAAGCCGGTGGTGATTATGCAAATGTTACTAAAATTGAAAAAGACAGAATGTTATTATGATAAAAAGAACAACAACACAGTATTGACAATTGTAAATAACTTGTTTTTAAATAAGTAAAAGTATTATTTACTTATATTTGGGTTACTTTGTTAATTGATCATCCTTATAACTGTTGATATATAAACTTCATCGATGTTTAAAATTAGAAGGCAATAAGAAACAGCAACTACAGTTTATTAGTTGATAGCGCATATCACAAAGCTATAAGTAATGTCAAGTGAATTTGAAGTGGAGAGGTGAATACTTACTTACTCACCTACTTACGCCTGTTACTCCTAATGGAGTATAGGACGACGACCAGCAGTCTCCAACCCACTCTGTCCTGAGCCTTCCTTTCTAATTCCACCCAATTCTTGTTCACTTTTCTCATGTCTATTTCCATTTCCCAGCGTAATGGGTTCTTTAGTCTTCCTCTTTTCCTTTGACCTTGAGGATTCCATGTGAGGGTTTGTCTTGTGACACGGTTCGGTGCTTTCCTCAATGTGTGTCCTATCCACTTCCAACGCTTCTTCCTGATTTCTTCTTCCGCTGGGATCTGGTTTGTTCTTTCCCATAATTGGTTGTTGCTAATGGTGTCCGGCCAACGGATCTGAAGTATTTTGCGTAGACAACTGTTAATAAACACCTGTATTTTATGGATGATAGCTTTCGTAGTTCTCCAGATTTCCGCCCAATACAGTAGAACTGTCTTGACATTTGTATTGTAAATTCTGACTTTGGTGTTGGCTTGTGGACTGTTGTTTTGAGTTCCAGATATTCTTCAGTTGTAAATATGTTGTCCTCCATGCACGATTTTGCAGTTTAAGGAGAGGTAAACAAGTATATACGAATGATTACATAGGTAAATTTATAGTCAAATTGCATAAGGGCGCAGTAAAACAAAGTAGGGACCAATAATTGGATTTGAGTACATATATATTCACCGAGTGATATTTGAGTAATTAACATTTTATCTAGAGTCTGTCATGTGATCTATTGATTGTAATAGTACAAAGAAATAGATGAATTGTTATTATTCAAATAACATTGTCTATTAAGTAAGTTAATAAAAGGGTTTAACCAAACTTAACCATAATCGAAATTAGTTGTACGATAGTTGCTATATACTCATTTCAAATTATAACTAGGAAACATCACCCGTCAAGGTAGGTGGTGAGCGGGAATATGATGATGATTTACTATCTCATCTACTGACTATTCATCTTTACTAAGTACTCTATCCCTAACCCAGGTATTGCTTACTCCGTGGTCCCAAAATACACGAGCAATGCTTCGTAGAAACCTATGATCACATATCAGTAACCAACGAATATCCCCTACTTTTAATGGCCGTTTCACATCCGTCGAGTAAAACGGAGCGAACTGTTACTCAGTAAACTTGCCCTTTGGTTGACAGACGGACATCTTCCCCACGCCACATGTGACACGAGCTGACAAAAGCCAATCGAACCTTCTGAATCCGTGCCGCCATTTCGTCAGGCACCAGACCATCAGTACAGATTAGATTCCCAAAATAAGTGAAGTCGTTGGTAGGTTCAACTACTTCACTTCCTATCACTAACTCAGGCAATGATCCAAGCCAATCTTGAAGTAAAATTTTACCTTTGGAGGGAAAGAACTGCATCACAGAAATGCTTTTATTGTTCCTTAAGGTGGTCAGAAGACTGAATTTTATCGGTGTCTTCAGCACACAAAACTATATCACCTATATATTCTGAGTCAACAAGTGAATCTTCCGGTAGAAGATCAACTCGTGAAAAGTCAGACGATGAAAGCATTATCTCTAAAAGTACGTCCATATCCAAGTTAAATAAAAACGGAAGCAGCAGACAACCGTGATGAGAACCACCTGAAGTAACCAGTTCCGACGACAGTTCGCTACAAGCTCTGATTCGGCCGGAAATGATCGAGTAGAGAGCTTAAACAAAATAAATGCACTTACTTGGTACATCTTTCAATGAGACACTGCCACAGAACCTCACGATCAACAGAGTTGAATGCTGTCTTAACCCCAAAGAACAGGACTATAGCAGAATGTCGAGAAGTGTATGTTCCAAAATCTGCCGAAGGGTGAATAGTTGGCCCATACATCCAAGTCCAGGTCTGAAACTAGCCTGGTTTTCTCGTGTTCGCTCTTAACGACTTCTAGTTAGACATCGAAATATAATTGAGACGAATATTTTAGATACCATGTTGGAAAAATGATCTCCGTGATTATCACCAAAAGGATCTCTGTCCCTTCTTATACATAGCTCTCTATAACATTTAACATCCTCCCATCTACAATCAGTGGGAGCGCATTCAAAGATAACGAAAAGGCAATGGCGTGTGTCACTAACTTTTCAAGCTCTTACCGTCCGTTTAGTCAGGCAGAGCGCTACTATTTATTGGAATCCAGTTTTCGAAATTAGCGCTTCACTTACCCTAGTGAGGTTATGGGAAGTAGCAGTGGGGTCTCCAGATACACGAAGAATAAATCGACAAAGTTAGATGAATGACCATAGTCGGACCCTGTATGTGGGTTACGGTGACGAAGCACACATCCAACTTGTGAGATTCTAAAGTTCTAGCTAAAGAAGATTGTTTTACTATCCGACGCAATGCTCGAACATTAAAAGCCCTAACATGTAGTTTAGAGCGTGGTTTCAGGAGAACAGGTATAACACTTCGTGAACTCAAATCACCAGCATTATTGGTGCATAAAGATAAAGGTAAATTAGAAGGGCTATTCGTGAGGATGGCAGAATCATTAAGAAGTGAGCGAGGACTCGATCGTCAACAAGATGATCTCTGGTGCTGAAGGAGGTATGAGACTGGTTGGTACATCCCGGTTGCCAACACCGCAGAAAAATATTTCTTCTTTTGGGACCTAAAACGGAATCTGAATTAGTAGTAGCCTTAGCAGCCTGGAAGCTTGACTGCAGAGCCCAAGGGACAACTGTTTCAGGCCGGTCGCGCACGGCTTTTTTATGGGAAGTTCCTGATGTTTTAGCTCCACACTTCAAAAGCCTTAACGCCGGAGACGGAAACCTATGGGGTAAGGTGAGGTATGACACTTTTAGGGTCGACATTTCTTCATGATTAAATAGCAATACGATACAGGCCTGTGATTATGTTGAATGTCCGATTGAAAGTTGATAAGCCGTTGTTTCATACCCACAAATCACCAACCTTGGTACCCAGTGAAAGAACCTTTGGAATTATATACTCAAAACACACCACCAAACTATGAAATTCATAACTGCCGGTTCAGGCCCAATGTTTGAAATTAATAAATAAAGCAATTATGTACCATATTGAACAATAATCTTTCCTCCATCCAACTGCAACAGTTAGTAGAAAAACAAAATCACTTTACCAAAATAATAAGTCAAACATACCGGTGAAGAAAAAACAAATGAAATGAACAAACTAATACAAAGTTATGGATAATTTAAAAAAAGCACCAACACAAAAGGGAAGTTCTGATCGATGTACAATTGTGATTATGTAATAAACTGCTTTCGTTTGTTATTAAATACAAAATACAAATATACCATACCAAATAAGAAGAAGAAGAAGAAAATCGATGATAGAAATGTAAATGTTTGGTTCACTTCAAAAGTTTCTTTTCTTTTTGGATAATTAAGTTCTATGATAAGAACGATAACAATATCAAAAAAAAGAGAAACAATCATTTAGAACCATTCAACCAACAAGATAAAAATATATAAGAAAACTATACAAATACATTAATCATTTTGAGATGGTGGAGAAGATTTGTAGCTCAGGTGGATGATTTTGGTGGAGTTTTGTTCTCTGAGCTGGATGGTTTGGTCGTCCATCCAGCTCAGAGAACAAAACTCCACCAAAATTAATCATTTTACAACAATAAATAGTACAATGGAAGTATTACTAAATCATGATAAAAAATGAAAATCATTGGAACAAGATCAAACTTAACTGAAGAAAACAACAACAACATAATTAACAATAAAGAAAAAAGTATACGAAGGGAGACAGAAAGTATACGAGCAAATAAATTGTAATTTTCTTCAAATAGTACGTTTGTACTCTGAAAATGCTTTTTACTTTGAATTTCTTTGCTTCACTTAAAAGTAGATTTTATGAAATATGAACAAACAAACGAAAAAGAAAAACAGGATACGAGGGGACTAGATTGCAGCAAAAAGTACCAGTATGCATAAACAGAAAAAATAAACTATACTACATTTGTCATATCAACCTAGTTTGTTTTTTTCTCTACAGACACAAAATATACTTGTTTACATCTTTATTCCAGTGTTCCGATAGCAGCCATCATTGCAACGCCGCTAATTAAAGAAATTATTTCAAGTAGACTTTGGACGAATGATTTTAATCCATTGTTTCGTGTTTTTGTTGTATTAGTAGTAGTACCGGTGTTATTATTAGTTGCCAACAGGTCAGGTAGCACAGAAGTCATAGCTATGTAGATAAAACCACCGGCAGTAAATGGTAAAATGCAACCAATAACAACATCATCTGTTACAACTGGTAGTATATTAGCATCAAAAACAATAGGACCAATACTAACACGTGCAGCAAGTAAGCTAACAGATGAACCCAAAAGTGCACCAATAGCAGTGATCAATTGAAGAAGCATAGCCTAGATAATAGGTAACGAACAAAATCCATATTAAAAGTGAGGATTTTTGTGCTGAGAAGTCAATATTGTACCAAAATATAATGTTGAATAAAGCCATTATTAATAATAAAAAAAATAATAACATAAGAATTGATTAAATGGTTTTAATAAAAACGCTCTTCTAAAATTCAAGAACTAAAATCAATTCGGAAAGAAGTTCTTCTAAATTATAAGCAGAGATGGATAGTGACTGGCAGTGAATTCCAGGTCAAGAGTTCCATCTTATCTGGGACTCGTCAGCTAAATGTAGCTGCATCCCAGAGTCGATGTTTACTCCAACACTCGAACCCAGTACTTTTCGTTTCAAACGCCATCGCACTAATGAGACCAGATACTTACTGGCTAGTGCAATCCTAAATTATGTTATAGGTGATCATAAACAGATGTATTACTTTAGGTATTATCATAGTTACATATTAGAATGATAAGCATGTGTTACATTTTACTCCCCTCAAAATTTACATAATCAGTTACTAGTGCGATTCAGATAACAAATATGACTCATAAACTAATCAATTAGTAAGTTATGTGCATCGGTTTGTGTTGCCACAAACTAATGACGCCCTGTACCAGACTACTAAATTACATTTTACATTATTTAGCATACTCAGTTTATTTAAGGCAAAACCAACTCCCTAGGTGTTTGAAATTCCATCGGACTATGAAAACATTTTCGTTTTAGAAAGGTGTATAAATTCACATACCCCTAAAGTAAGTGTTCACAATGATCTTGGAGCATGGTTTTTTATTGGTGAAACAAAATATTTTTTGTGATATGTATACATTTTTAACAGAAGGCATGACGTTGATTGAACCAAAAACAACTCACTAATCACAGTGTGTGCTACGCTTTTGGTAGGATGAGATTTCAGTCAGTCAGTAACAACGTAGAACTTCGTACGTACGTACATCAGTTCGAGTTGCCAAACCACATTAGCACAGAGATACAATTGTCGATTCAAATCCCATAGTGGTAGAGGTGATAAGAGTATAAACAGTAATCGGAAAGATTAGGGTTTAAAGATGTTATTTAAAGAGTAGAATCCAGTGAAATAAATTTGGAAAGAGAAGAAAAGAAACAAGGAGGATTCATGAAATTAGGATTTGGAAGAACACAAAGAGTGTATGCACCTGCGCCAATGCAAACGATTTTGAGCCATGTCATTCAGGGTCTCTAACCATCGGTTGCTATCGTCTCGCGGTCCCCAACCAGGTAGTCTACACCTACCAACATGGCTCAGTCCACTTGTCAGTGACTTCATGGATTTGTGCCATGTTTTGGTTTGGCCGCCCCTAACTTTCTTTCAACCTACTCCTATACCATTGAGCATTGCACTTCGAGGTAGTCGGTGGTTGGGCATACGTAACACGTGTCCCAGCCATCTCAACTGATGAAGTTCCACTACTTCACCAATCGATTCGTCATCCTTACCTAGTACCCGTTTCCTAACAACTGCGTTACTTACTCGATGGTCCCAGGATATACGAGTAATGTTTCGAAGACATCTATGGTCGAATACTAGTAACTTACGAATATCCTCTGCTCTTCCCAGCCATGTTTCACTGCCATAAAGTAGGACGGAACGAACTGCTGCTCAGTAAACACGTCCTTTGGTTGATAGACGGATATCTCGCCTACGCCATAAATGACGCAAGTTGGCAAAAGCTAGTCGAGCCTTCTGTATCCGTGCTGAGATTTCGTCACACACCAGACCACAAGGGCTGATGAGACTTCGAAGATAAGTGAAGCGGTCGACACACTCAACTACTTCACTCCCTATCATTAGTTCGGGTGTCGATGTAACCCAATCCTGAAGTAACATTTTGCATTTCGAGGGGGAGAATCGCATGCCGAACATGCTTGCATTGTTGCTTAGAATGGTCAGAAGACTGCATTTTGTCAGCATCTTCACCAAATAGAACTATGTCATCGGCATATTCCAAGTCAACAAGTGAATCTCCTGGTAGAAGTTCAACCCCTGGAAATTTAGATGAGGAAAGTGTCATCTCTAAAAGTACGTCAATGACAAAGTTAAACAAGGACGGAGATAGTGGGCAGCCCTGACGAACACCACTTGAGGTAATCAATTTTGATGACAGTTTGCCATAAGCTCTCACTCGACCAGTTGTGTTCGAGTGAGATTTCAACTAGCAACCCGATAATTACGAGCCGAATGCTTAAACAAATGTGTAACGAGATGTTTAAGTAAACCTTAAATGACCTTGAGAAATTTCAGCCAGTCAGATAACAGGTGATATAAAGCAGGTATACATTAAAGAAAATTGAAAGAACTGTAATGGATACATGTTTATTTATTTATTTTAACACATAGATATTGGTACAAGAAGGCACCAAATACATATGCGCCACACAAATCTCATTCGATATGTGTGAGGGCTGTGATACTGCCCGGGTGCCCAAACCGAAGCAGGTGGTTTTCTTATGGGGCCACTCCCCGAGCCTTCGACCTGAAGGTCTGATCCACAAGGCAGTGGAGCATCGTAAGGAGATGCAGTCCCATGGAAGCCGGTGACCAACAATTGCTTCATACGCCTTTTGTTCCCGCAGGATACTGGAGCCCATGTGCACCATTGGTTTGGAATCCGGTTAAAGCGCCGGACATTCACTTTTCGTCCTCTCATTTTTGTAAACAACACCCCCGCCACGAGAAGGCAGTGAGTAGGACTTCCCTGGCAGAGGCTATACACGCGTGGCCATGTGAGAGTATTTCGAGAGGGAGAGCGGACTCTCCCCACTCTCGGCCGTACCAGGGCATTTGGGGGCAATGGATACATGGCTTTAATGTGGTTAGAAAACCTCTAAAGATTACAACTAGGTTCTGATGTTCTGGAATCATAATATATGTGGCATAGAAATCCCCCGATGTGACTCAACAACAATTGATGAATTCTTTCAGTTTTGTCCAAATCGCTTCCATACTATATGTGTGCACTCTACTGCCAAGGTTGACGAAATTCCTTTTGTGGATCACAACATGGTGAATGTAACTTTTGTAGGTACTTGCCTTCCAGTCGCCGGTGTATAAGGCGATGCCTATTTGGGTATATTCCAGTGTATGTGACATCAACGTTGTTACCTGAAGGTTTCGGAAGTGTCGTAAATGTCCTTTTAGTAATGGTTTATCATAAATATTAAAGATCTGCTAAGTAGACTTAAGAAAGTACTATCTACCCAATCTTTTATTTACACTTCTTACTCCACTATATTTGCATTTCCTGACAATGGTTAGGTCAATTTCCACACCTCCAAATGAAAGATTTAAATTCACCAACTTTATAGCACATATCTTACTGTAATACGCACATCACTGAATCACAAAACATTTAGTAAAATTAGCAAAAGCAACAACCGGTGTTTTTATTACCCGATTTACAAGAATCAGCATAACGTGTTTCGATGTTAATTTATAACAAGCAGGAAATGTCTCCGTTCTAACTTATCAGATACTTGGGTATAAACTACACTCTAGTTGTGAGGGCTAATAATGACATCCAGTCGCATAAGTCGAAGTAGATGCAGAGTGGTTTGAAATAGAGACTGAATGGCTGAGAGCCAAACTCATTAACTCAAGTCTAGTCAAATGATGAATACCACATGAAATATATTTCAAAGCACACAGTTTCGCTCGATTGGCCAATACTTTTCAACTTAAATCCGATAACGAAAGTGAGTGTATACAATTCCACATCACAACGCTTTACTAAAACTTACTTTACGTGAAGAAAATCCGGATTGTATAAGTATTGCATAGTCCCCAATCTCATGCGGAAGTTCATGTAACAGAACCGTAAAAGTGGTCAGAAAACCAACATTTCTACTAACCAGAAAGGATCCACCTAAAAATGTATAGAAAAAAAAACATTTTAATTCAGTACAACCACTTAAATCTGAACTGAAGGATCTTTCAAACGACGAAGCTTCAAGCAAATATTTAACAAGATTGTAAAGTGTAATTAGTGATAAATATAATTAACCGCTTTGTAAATTCGTAAGAACTAATGTGAAGCTGCAGTTTCTTTTGGTGAGATACGGCAACGATAGTTAACAAAGAAAACACTACATCACAATGAAAATATGTGATATTCAAAAATTTGAATGTCATTAGTTTTGAAGTCAATAAGTTGGCAGCAAAGTAACAAAAAACAAGTCTATCAATTTAGATGTATGTGCGGAAACACGTACATAGGGAGGAGCAATTGTGAGCTTCAAGTAAGAGTGGCTGAACACATACCTAAATGACAACAAAAACAAATGAATTCCAATGGTCAAATAAGATCACAGAGTAGACAAATATCTTCTTCTATTGAGAAACATTTGGTTGAGACCGGTCATAAGATTTATATCAAGTAAGCTTTTGTAGTTTAGCAAAACGTTCTCAAGGGCATATACTAAGGTTTGTTGAAGCCTCATTTATACGGAAACTCAGACCCCCTTCATGTGTTCAAAAACAACTTGTTCTTAACTTTAACCTAACCTGGTGATACTGATTTATTATACAGTATGGTTTTCGCATTGTTTTTGTGTACTTTATTATTACCTTTGTTTCCACTTACCTTTTAATTTGTCTAATAGACCCATTTCCTAATGTATAATGTCTTAACAAGTATATGTGTGATCGGATTGTTCAAAATGTATTGCGCAAATATATCACATAATTCTGATAACCTCCACCTTCTCACCACATATCCAAATTCATAAATGGGACTAACTGTTCAAAAAAAATAGGCAACAAATATTGTCCAAAGGCAAGACATATATGAGGATATCCCAATAGTCCTTTCTATTAGAGGAGCAATGCTCTAGTGGTAAAGGTATTCAATTTTCAGCCATTGAGTCCCTGGTTCTAACACCATTCCACCTACTCTGGCTTGGGCAACCAGGAAGCATAATTGGCCCTCACATTTAGAATGTGGCTCATACTCAAGCAACCGGTGAACTAGTTAATTTAACGAATTTAATTTAGAGGAAAATCCATAACAAACGCACCTCCGTTAGTGTGGCTGATTTTAAACTCAGTCACTCGTCTCTAGTCACTGATTACAATTAACACGCAGAATTTAACCAGGAAACAAGCACTTACCAGCACGACACAGATCAACAGTTTGGAATGATGTAACTTTTTGATTAGGTAACCTCTAGTATTTTTCTGGCATACTATTTTGCCAGCTAACATAGTAAGACGAGGTATGTGCTGGTTAAGGATCCATGACACATTCTTCAACCCACACAGTCAATGAAGATTTGGAGCCTCATTAACTTAATGTTAATATGTGATACCTGACTTTTGTATAACTCACTTAATGACTCCACCATACGCATATGATTAAGTAATAGTTCCATAGAGTACGTTAAACAGACAAGTACTGTACAGTAAACTCACCTATCAATGATAGGCAGGAGGACATCTCGCTGGTTTGTAGCAAATGAAAGACTCTATAGTCAGCAATACATCAACAGCTATACTCAACTGCTTTAGTAAAAAATAGTCTTGGCTCACCAGATATAGATAGTTCCAAAATACCAAATAAATACGTGGTTTAATGGAACATCAATTACAGTGTAAAAAAGTAACATAAATAAAACTTACCAATAGCTAACCCATCAGTAAAATTGTGCGTAAAATCTGCTGCCAAGTTAAGATATCCAGAAACTTTGAAGTCTGTAGCTGTTAAAAAAGAATGGAACTATAAAGTTTGTATAATTTCACTTCAGTCGACGATTAAGATGTTTTAATACAACAAGATCTAATTATAAGTATCCATTATATTATCGAAAATATTTCATAATTCAATTTGATCTTTAAACAACTGATGACAAGAAATTGTAGCGGGTTTTCTTGAAACAATACACAGTTTTAAAACTGCTCTATTAACTGTCGCTGAAAGGATTTTTTCAGAAACAACTCAGTTAAGGAACATGTGATTAGTCAGACATCATAATTTACATATCAGTCTTAATGGTAATTATTGCTAATCATTATTATTGATAATTTATAAGAGGCGAAAGTTTCGCTTCTTCATACTATTTTCAACTAACAAATTTACTTACGTTAGATGATGATTCTCTTTTCTATTCAAAAGTAATGCAGTTACTTAAATAATTACAATGGATACCTTAACCCTGATGACTTAATATGTAATTCTATGCATAGCTTACGTCTAGTTTTAGCTCCACTTTTGGTATCTTCCCCTTTTTTCTTATTCTTTCCTTTATTTTCACCGTCAACATTAGACACTGCATGATGAGTATGGCCTCCACAATGTTCATTTCTAAAAAGTCGGATACATTTTTCGACGCACAAGAACACGAAAATTCCACCAACAACATAAAGTCCAACGTAGGAGTGACGCTTGTGACCATGTCCATCTCCAGTATTTTCCTCGTGAGCGTGGTCAGGATTAGAATGTCCACTCTCCAATGCATGAGGAATTAAGTGAAGAAATGCATCTCCCAGTAAACCACCAGCTGCAAATGCGAGAAGGACCTTGAGGAAGCCACGGTGTTTGTTCAAATCTGGCATCAGGCACAATATAATAAAAGGAGCGATACTAATGAGTAACACAGCTCCGAATACTTCGACCCACAGTTGCTCAGAGGAATCTTTACGTGTTTCCCGTACGTGATTTTCCTTATACCTAGAAAAAAAACCACATACAAGGAGTGTATTCTCAGATCACAGGAAGCTAAGTCACACAGATAAAATACTAAATTACAACAGTAACAAGCAGAGTACAAGTACCATTCAAAAGAGCCAAAACCTACTCCAGTACTATAATTAGGCAGAAAAATGAAGAAACTCATTCTGTCTTATACAGAACGTGGTTCGCCCAGTGACTGTCAAAAGATGCCTGTCGAATTGACTGAACACAGTAAAATTAACCTCATGAACCAGGAAACGAATCGTCCTGCTATATGTAAAAAACATCTCAGAAATTACTAAGAGGATTTTGAAGGATTCTAAAATAAATGTCTTCTACAAATCAGTTCAATCTTTTCACTACATTTAATGCGAATCTTAAGATACAACAGCGAGAGAAGATAAGTACAGCATGGTCAACAGAAATTATACCAACTGTGAGAAATACAGTTAATAAAATTGATGCTCTCTTCACCTATCCATACACAATACAGAATACTAATAAAACGACACTTGATCAGGGACATAAATACACGTGGATAACCACGAATACGAATTCGATTGGAAAGGTGTCAAAATTTTAGAGTGAGGAAATTCTAGGTGTCTTAGAATTCCTAGTGATATGCCAGTTAAACGGTTTGGCAACCAACAAGCATACTGACACCGATTCGACCTATCAGCTTATCCGAAAAAATCAATCAATTAAATAGTTAAAAGTCAAATGAACAAGACAATCAAGAATACGTGGACAAATGAAGACAACCGAACTTACAAAGATAATCCGTTACAAACAAGGCCATCAGGATGAAAGTAAACGTCATTCCTGTATTTAGTAGAAGCCGACGATCCTCTACAGAACGACATTGAATGATCTACAATTAAATCAGCTAGCTCACAGAACTCAACACTAAAAGCAACCACTTCATTTGCAAATCTCAATCACAAAAATGCCACTACATCACGTAAATTACCAAGTCTACTAATGTACAGACTCCACTAGTTCGTGTTCACTAAAACAGAACATTAGATTCTAGCTTTTACGTGTTTATTTGCATTCAATTTCTGTAATTTAGACGAGTGATGTAAACAGATGCGTAAAAGTACAGAGCACGTTCTTCTTCTGTTAGTATAAATTGCTCCAACATGACTGTCAGTTACATATCGTGAAGTACAAGTAAATATATGATTAAAAATAATTTCGTTAGCATAGAGTACGTCATAGTGTACTTGGCCTACAGTTGGAAGGCTAATATCTATCCTTTGGTGCAAGTGTAGTGAACGAAAACTCAGGTAAGGTGAAACAATTTATTGTTTTACGCAAAATTACTCTGTCCGCAAGAGTAGCAAGCACCACACTTGTCCCCCTCCATTTCGAAAAGTCGCTCTCGCAGTTGTTCTACCCGCTGTGTCGCTTTCTTGGTCCATGCCTTGCTTCCCGTCGAAATGGCGAGCCCACCATCACGCCGATCGTAGCTCTGTCGACGTGCTGGGCCATCTAGGTCTGATGTCCATACTGCACCCGGGACGTTAAACGTCTCCTGAGTTTTCGTTCACTATATAAGTAATAAAATTTATGGTCACCAAGTCTACGATTACTTTATACATCACAACAATGTCAGTGTTACATAAATTTTTCTTGATGCCAAGTTAGATTTTGGTTTGAGAACCTGTTTTGTCACAGCCAGATGTGTCATGTCAGCATCAAATATGAGACTCCCAAACATTAAAGAAAATGATGCATGGCTCTTGAAAATTACTTAGACCCATTTACTATTACGCTATGACCTTGAAAACGATTACAGATCGAATTAATGTAGCGCACCCAGGTCGAGTTTTATGTTTGCTTTATAGCGATTAATGGAATCATAATGATATCTATATCAGACCAGTTACATTTACGTCTATTATGTAAGTGTCATTAGCTTGGTCACTATGTTCCAGATCAATAGGACTTTAGAAAATGTCACACAAATGATCTTTCGATACCTAGTAGTTAACAAAGATCTTCTTTCGACAACGAAGAGCGCCTTGAGACTTTATGACATTTCTGTAATAATTAAGTAACAAATACGTCGAATTCAAGTTTTAATTAGTTCTAAAATGTCGTTTAAACGAATAGTTATGGCATAAAATCAGTCACATTTGCTTACTATCAATATAGTACTTGTTGTGGTGACAATACTAAACCCCAAAATTTTCAGCTTGCGGTTTGATAAGGTGTTCACCTCTTTATTGATGTTAGGAATACAAAAAAAATACAGCTGTCTGGTGCATTTTATCCTCCTACAGTGCGATAAGAAACGAGGAACCTGGGATACACCCCATTATTAACAAATAGCCATCAATGCACAGACCACATTCTTTTCTCAGTGGTTTTACTGGATATTACAATTACAATGTACAAAAGGATTGGTATGTAGAAGTATATTCAGTGAATAACCGCTACAAGTGCTTTGAGGTTTAAGATTGAAAGATGATTGACAATCTTTAGTCATGGTCTTTATACTACCGACCTTATGCTCAGTTTCTTATAATTAGTCACATCCAGGAATTTGCTTCCGATGTAGATAGATTCACTATCAATCTATAGATACGATAGTGGCACGAACTAACTCGGATTATTTTTGTCTTTCAATTTGATCCGCGGTCACTTTAATACCTTCCTGGAGTATTGAAACCAAGTATGCGAAAACTTTTACTTTACCAATATCCATTCGAAATGAGAATGAAATAGAATCTTCACCGCTTACTAATTCGAAAGCGTAAAGATAACTTGGTGAAGAATGGTTAGGTAAAAATGTTGGAAATATCATTTACAAATAAGTGAATAATTATTCGTTCAAATACCAAATAAAGTTTGCAACAAAACGCAAACAAAACAGACTCAATTACCCAATATTAGCTTCCTTAGAATACTTATAGTGGGGTGGTTCATGACTATGGACTTGATCATGACCATGACTAGAAACACATATCCATAGCTGAATCAAAAATACCAACGTTGTAAACTGCATTGCAACAAACGAAATGGCGCCCGGTCGAAATCCCGCATGGTTGGATAGGTCGTGACCTAGTCAAACTTCAAACTTTGATAGGCAGAAGTAGCTAATTTTCGTTCTTCGAAGTCCACTTTCAGGGGAACAAAAGATGTTTCTTAGCCATATAAAGGTGTTATACATGTTTTGACACCCCATGATATCTATGATCTAGCCCATACCCTTTTTCTATGTGTTTCCCGTTATCATGGGGAAGACGCTGTTTATCCAAAAATGAACGGTCATTCCGGATCATTTCAAGAAAGAAAGGCTTCGACTAAAAGGAGGGCCGTCGAGGTTTGGTATTAGTCACAGAGAGATAAGCCGACTGATAGACTTGATGAGAGTGTCTCTAAGTAATTTAAACCATTCGTCGACGGTGGTTAAACCACTTTCACTCAATAATAATGTTTTTGGAAGTCGATTGTAGAGAGTTAGTACCTGTTTTATGGAGTCCACACAGCTGGTGGCCAAAGTGAACTTGGGACAAACTGATTTGAAACTTTTGTGGCCCAGTGATTTAACTTTAAATTGATCGTATGATGATGTTAAGGAAATATGCATCCTGCCAACCATTGTATATATCATCGACTTAGTTAGCTCCAGTGAATAATAGAATGGAACAGGCTAAGTAATGGAACGAATTTGAATAGATATATTTCACATGCTCTCCGAGTTATTAAAGTCTGTTCAAGAGCTAGGATGAATCATATGTGTATTAGTACTAGTATTGTTGTTTGATAAAACATGTGCACGGTCTGATCTAATCCCTACGTTCTGGGCCCCTCTATAGTTTTGCAAACCCCAGTTTTAGACATACTAAATTCTCTTTAATCGCTGTGGTTACTTGAAAGTCATTTAACTTTATTGTGACATGTATATTCACTGATTTCTATAACGTCACACTCTATGTGTAAACACACTTACATTCAATATCTGTTGTTTCTCTATATCAATAGTACGAAAACGGATATAGTTGTGTTGGTTACAGAGTGAACTTATCCGCAACGCAAACATGTAAACTTAATGTATCGCACAGGGTCATCTGTGCGTTCAAGCAACCACAGATTTTGTCATTTCATAATGTATTTTCAATTAAATAACTAGATTATGTAGTTAATTTTGCTCCGTTTTTAATTTTTATTCTCCATATCCGACTGCGTTACACTGTACGTTCACTGCACGCTGAGATGTTATCCCAAGTCAGTGAGTATAATCACATAGTTGATTGTTTCCAGATGGACCATCAGTGCATAATGTTACTGAAGAAAGGTTTGTTGTACTGTAAACTATGTTTCTATGAACAACTGACTGTTGTCTTCAGTCGGAAAGCAATATATATATCCTTTGTCTTCTGTTAGGTAAGTTCAACTGGCCTATATTTCGTGTTTTGGTTTTATCGGCTTAATTATGTCCATTTAACTACTTTGAGCAACATGTCTGTGCAAATGAAACAATAAATATGACACTTGCTTAGTTTAGTATTCTTGGTTGTCGTATAATTCAGTTTAGTTGTAAGAATTATGGTATACCTAAGTATAGTGCTTGAAGCCTGTAACGAAACAGATCAGTTTAGTAAGTATAGCTGCCTGTTTTTAATGAGTATACTGATTCATATCAGTCTGATTAAAAATAGGAAAAAACGTGCCTTTGATGCTGTTGCTGTCATACATTATAAGACAGCGATAAGTATGTTTGGTGTTTATTTCTAGACTGTACAACTATCACTGACCAAATTTCATGATCACTGTCATTAAACAATTTCCCCAGCAATAACATCGGTAGCAAGATAGCTAAGCGTCTGAGGTTTTAGTTGCCCACATAACAGCAGTATACAGTCTTAGAAGATGAGTGTTCTGTGTTTCAATTAAATGCAGGTGGCTGTGGACAAATGTTAAGAATCTTTTTGACAACTGGGACTTTTAGTTTATCAGACACTAACTCTGCTGTATGTCTTCCTGTTAAACCAGACGCAGATGCATAGGAATACTTAAATGGGAGCAAAATAATAAAAGCATTGCGATGCGGTACTAAGCCCATTTACGCTTTGCACAAGTAATAGTAGCTGACCTGATCTAATATTCATGAACTCAAGGTAAATCACAACTGCATAAATTCTTTGCTAAAAAACATGTAATTTGGTTATTTATCTATTCCACATTTCTGACTAAATTCACCACTACTTTTTCATTTAGAATGCAACAGGAGTGAGTCTTCACAGATCCTAAAAACTGTTTCGCCCTTAGAACTATGGCCCTATGGAACTGTTTACGGGAGACCCAACTAACAGCAGATTATAAAAACAATGCTGGACACCCATTTTAGTCTCACAACCACTTCCAGTATTTTTGACTTCCTTTACTCTTTCGTTTGGAAAAAAAAACAACAAAAACTGCGGCTCAACATTACCAATACAACTTTTAAACGGGAACTTAGTTTAAACCTCTGTTTGATATTCAATTTTTAATGGAAGTTCTTGAATAAATTTTTGAATTTAATGCTACTTTGTTTTATCTAGTTAATCGTTGCAAGATACTTGTGATAAGCGAGCCTCCCAGCACCTAGTTCATGTGTTCAGATGGTTTTGGACTGAATAGAAGCTTTCGCTTAACAGGCTTCCGTGTCTAGTAGCAGGGGATCACCAAATCCTGCAGGCAGGAACCTAGGTATGTTAACAATAAAAGAGGAGAAAAAAATTGGCAAATCATAGTATGATACTATCCTTAATCCTTAAGAATAGACCCAGTTGCCTCTCGAATGACTCCTGGGAAGTCGCTTAGACTAGCTCGGCCGGCAGAGAATCCCGGCATTTGGCAACTCCTAAGGAGTAGAAGTTGCGTCTACAGTCCGTCCTGCTATGTTGTGTCTCTAGTTTCTGGGTGTTATCCCTTAGGTTAGTGTTGAGACTAAGCTTAAGTAGGTGTTTAAGAGAATGTCTAGAAGTGTTAAGGATACTGTAAGCCATTAGAAGGTCACCTCTAAGACGTCTATACTCTAATGGGTAGGGGTTAAGTGATTGAAGACGCTCTTCATAAGGTGATTTGGTGCATATCTTCGTCATTTTCTTGGGAAACCTACAGACTCGGGTCCTTTCACAACTTATTCTAGCCACCATGAGTTGCCACGGCAGCTGATGGATGGACATGTAGTGGCATTGAACAATAACCGCACAATCCACAAAGCTGAACACGAGACTACTCAGAAAATAGATATTCAATATTTAACGCGGATAAATACCTAACGATGGAGAAGGCGCGAAGAATGAATTGAATGGCCTGGAGTTGATCGAGTGGCATGGCTCGGCCATGCAGGCGTGGTCTCTGCTGAATGTTACCATATATCTTCTATTCATATTAAATATATTGTTCTTTCTCTAGCCTAACCTTGTTCTACATCATGTATTGGTAATTGATACGATACAGTGAGTTGGTGTAGTCGATGGTGTGACTTCCACGTAAGATCTTATAGATTAGGCAGTTATATCATGACAAATCTACAAATTTAGGATTAGGTCTATTATTAGAGCAATACTAATATCATAGTAGACCATAATTCTACATTGGTGAGCCCAACTAAAGAAACGCAACCCATTACTGTTAATCCTTATTTCCACCTTAACCTTCTCAATCGGTTTTTATTTTTGTAAACCCAGTATTCGTATAGTCCTTTAATTAATGGTCACATATATTATCGTAATGTTATATCTATCAGTTCACATAACTTACTAGCTCAATCGATTATAAAAGTTGATCATCTATATCAACTAATTAGCCTTGATGGTTCGTTAACAAGCTTTAATAGCATTTACATGCTTCAGCGACATAGACTTGTTTAAACATCAAGCTCTAGCAAATATGACCTGTAAATAGCGTAAACATACATTGACTAACAATGCAATCAAGGACTAAAAAGTTATCTGGATCTAATTCTCAGTGTCCCTTCACTTAACACCTCATCCTGTTTTAAACTACCCACTGTAAGATCCATTTTGAAGGTTTTATGTGTTGGTGAAAATCCCTCCATGTATATACTTGTACTTTACTCCTATTGATCGCATTAGTTGTACATTGTTGTATTTTGATTACATTTGAATTGTTAATATTTGTATTTTTGTTATAGTTTTTGTTTTTATTACGCATTCACTAAGTTTGTGTTTCTTCCTGAACTGCATCTGCGTTGTTTTACTTGACACTTGTTCTTGGCGGTAGCCATATTGATTTGTTCCTCATGTTGTGTGTGATCTATCCAGCCAGGATAGAATAACGTTGATTTGTTGTGATTGGTAATTTTTCCTCATCTTCTATCAACTTCTTTATTTATTGTAATTTAGATTTAATTGATTGAACAATCATTGGTTGAATAGCCGGGTGATAATATTTGTTTAGGTAATGATTTACATTAAATTTATTATGAATTATAGAACCGCTAGTTACCCGATTACTTGTTCTGATTTTGACGGGAAAGGGCGCGTGTCTAAAAACCCCCCTGTCGGCTATTCTTCAACATCCAAACCGTAGTTTGGATCCTACAGTTCTAAACAAATATAACTTGGCCGAAATCCTTTGGTAATCGTTCACGGATTTTCTGGAAATAATTGGTCGTGTCGCTTATAATGCCAGTTAATCATCGAAGGAGATCAGGCTCAAAGTTCGTCGATGTTAAAGAAGAATCCTCTATTGTCAAGCAAGTGCCTTTTGACGTCCCTATGGGTCATGGTTCAGACTTAAATAGGGTTAATTATCATGGCAGTGATTCTAGCCTTAATTCGATGTCAGTTGATGTAAAAAATCTTAGTTTAAGGGAGGAGCAAAGGCCTGAATTACTAGGAAAGAGCATGTCGCCTATAGTCCATGTTGTTGGCCCAGAGCTACCAAAGGTTGAACTGAGTTATTTCGATGGAGAGCCAAGAGGTTATTGGAAATTTATAAGGCAATTTGAGACGTATGTAGCGTCAAGAGTCACGGATGATAGCCAGCGCTTACTCTATTTGATACACTACTGTAAGGGCAAGGC